TCTAATCGACACTATGCACGTTTTACACATAAAACCTCTTCCCAGGTTTTTGATGGACACTTTTGAAAAGTTGATCTTGTTTTTATCGAGCAAGACATCTTAAATTTCCACATCCGTTCGATCAGATTTCTCCTTTAAAAATCGCTTTAGCTTCAAGATATGTCGGCTATATTTGCGCTTATTAAAATGTGAACCGGCAGACGTAGGTATGCGTATCCTATCATATGTCTTTGCTAAAGCGTTTAGCTATGTAAGGCTTTTCTGTGTTTATACGTAATTTTCCATGTGGTAAAAAATATTGCTTATTTTAGAGGCCTCTTCTACTTCTATTTGACATGTCTCTTCAGGGCGTGGACGATCACGGCTCTCCACAACTTTCTATATTTTCTAAACCTCAACAACGTTTACCTCTTTACTATCCTCCCTATCTTATATCATCCATTTATACAAGAACTTTCTGTAGGTTACTCGCTCTTTCCCTCTGTCCTTGAAGATGTCCTGTGAGTTTCAAATTTTCCAAGGGTCTCGGAAATTTCAATTTTTTCTGACTCTAAGTGTCTGTTTTGTTTCCATTTTCTTTGAAACTTTCTCACTTATCGCATATTCTGTCCGAAGTATTCTCAACATCCTTCTGTAGAACCATATTTCTATTGCATCAAGTTCTCTATTCATCTGTGAAGCAATTCTCCTGCATTCACTGCCATCGAGGAGTTATGTTGCATCGCAGTTCAATATTATTTTCTTCGTTTTTTAATGAAATCTTCCTATTTTTAATACTTTGTTCTCGTTCTGGGTATGACGATAGACTACATCCGCGTCCAGGGTAAGACGATAAACTACGTTCAACAGCAAGGCCTCTGATCAGGAGGTTTTGAGGAGCGTGGAACCACCTCTTAATTGCTGGTGTTCCCAGGTCCACCCTGACCAGGGGTGGTAGCACCTGTTAGGGTCCCAGCTATGGGCAAATAGTTAAACCTGAAACTGAGGTAAAAAGCATTTGAAAAAGTGTAAAAATAGGTTTTAATATTAGAAATACTTTTTTAAAAAATTATTGCCAGAAATAATTTTTTTAAGAAAAAAATATTACCAGCAATATGGTTTTGAAAAAAAATATTACCAGCAATACGTTTTTGAAAATAATATTACCAGCTATATATTTTTGAGGAAAAAAAATTACCAGAAATAAATTTTTGACAAAATATTACCAAGAAAAAAAGTTATCGGCATTAAATAACACATTGAGGTTGATATGCCGTAAATCAAACCAAACCAGACCAATACTTTGTTCAGCTTTTGGAAGGCATTTTTTTTTTCTATTCCATTAAAATCATATTCACTCATGTTATTGTAACGTTATTATTTATATTCCAGTCTGGTTCAATGCATTCACTAATGTGCAAATAAACTTGGGAAAGTTATGAGTTCATCTCTTCTCCCCCAGCTATGGGTGAATAGCAAGACAGACTGCGTCTTGGGTGGCAACCGATCTAGAAGGACAATTCTGAATTCAAACCTTGAGTAGTCGGCGACTAAACCAGATTCTCCAGCAGACCCTGCTCTGGTGAAGGGGGTAAGTGGAAACCCAACAGCAAAAAATCAAGAGCTGTTAAAGGTCAGAGGAACTCCTCAAAGTCAACAGTCACCCGCCCCAGCTATGGGTTAAATAGTCTCACCAACCCGCAACTGGCCAAGCGTGGTGAGTATGGATACTCCCCTGAAGACATGGTCAATCAGGGAGTGGTTCCTCCAACAGAATTGAGCAGACCTTGGATTTGGACTATTTTTTATTGTCATTTTCTCTTTACTACTTCGTACAAGACTTTGTTTAATAAAAGAGTACTGAACTGTTACATAATATCTGCCCTATATGGCAGTGAATGCTGAACAATCTCCTCAAAAATGAAAAGACTTAAAGCAACAAAAATGCGGTTCTACAGAAGGATGCTGAAGGTACCATGGACCGAATATGTCAGCAAGGACGAAGTTTTAGAGAAAATAGACACAAAATGGAAACTTATACTTAACATCAGGAAGAGACAGCTGAAATTTCTAGGTCACTATAATGAGGAAAGAGGGTTTGGAAAACTTGATACTCACAGGAGAGAATGAAGGCAAGAGAGACAGAGGAAAATAACGCATAACATATTTAGTGAGTTTAAGTAAATGGATGGCGGAACAAGTTTTAGGGGAAATAACAAAAAGATAAAATCTATTAAGAGCTACAAAAGACAGGAAATTGTAGAGAGCCTTAATCGCCTACGGCACATAGAAAAAGAAGAAGCCACTCTACCTTTGGCTCAACTATGGTAGGTACCATTCAGTCTTCATTTTCAAAAAAACACTAGAAATATCAAGTCTAGCTGTACTCAATGACACTAGTAGCAACACCCCCTTTTTTCCTTTATCCAACTTTTTCTTGTTTAATTTTCTTTTCTTTCTTTTTGTTTCCTCTTCTTTCCATTACAGTTGTTTCACTGGTGGGTCGTGAATGTTAAGTGACAACTGAGCTTTTCAAAAAACCCACACCCCATTCATCGTCCTATTTTGTAATACAATAATTTCGATCGTATCTCTTCGATTTTTAATTTCTTTTTTTTTTCTTTTTTTAATTTTTTTTTTTCAAGAAAGCTTTTTAAATGGATTAAAAAGCTAAATTAAGCTAAGGTAAAAAAAAAAATGTAAACTCAATTTCACCATTCTTATTAAAATTTTGAGAAAGTTGTTCTAATTCGTCTTTCTCCATATTCTTCAGTTTCAACCAATTATCTATTGGAACAGCTTTAAATGCATAATGTACTGTCAAAAATATTAACTATTGACTCTAAGTAAATTGCTTTCTTTTCTAATTACAGTAGCAATTTTTTTTTTCAATCAAAATTATGATTACTCATTACAATGAGCAACTAATGCATAGTGTGTGTGTGTGGTTTTGTAAAAGATCACGTTAGTTTTTTATCTTAATTTGTTTTCTTTTGATCACATCTCGTCAAACCATCAGTCTACAACCATTAGTAAACATTAGTAACATACAGTGAATGTCGGAAATAAAGATAAGTTCTCCATAAATCGTGGTCTCCCATCATTTGAAAATTAAATAAATATTAGTAAAAATATTAATTATAATAAAACATAAGTTTTGCAGTACACGACCAAGATATGTGTTTAGTTTTCTTCAATCTCTCTCTCTTTTTTTTCTTTTTTTTTTTTTTTTGGTCGGCTTAGCCCCTTGAGAAATGCATTTTAATTTTCGGTACAGAATTTCTTGAATGAGAAGTTATTATTTATGTCCTCATCTCGGTTGTTATCATCAGCTACATATGATATCCTCCTACATGTCGGAATGTTATCACTATATAAATATTTATATATTGTTACCGCCAGCAATTCCCAGCTGACACTGAATGTACAACCTGAACTGTTCTGCTTTCTTTCTGATATCTACGTAAAGTCTGGTTGCCTAAAAGCCCTATTAAGTTCTATTATTCCTAATAGTCACTTCATTAACATTGTTTTACTGAATTGATCTAATCCACTAATAAACCTTCATATTTTTTTATTCCCTTAATTACAATAACTCCATCTCTTCTGGCGTAAATCGGGTGATCCGTCTATGCTTTAAAAAAATCTAAAGTTTTCCTATTTTTCAGTATAGCTTGTGTTTGAATCCAAACTACTTGGTTTGAATGGTTGGATTAATATGTATAATTAGCAGTGACTCATTGTCGAAACTATATCGTGTCTACTATGTGAACAAGGATAATCGAGTCAGTCAAGAATCATTCATCGCCTTTACCTCGACATCAGCCAAATTTATTTTCTGACGCTCTCCCATACTTTTGCCTGGCCAGTTATTGTTGTATATTTCCAGTTGTTTGCGCTTGATTGATAATTAATGGACAAATTGTTGTTTTCAAAGTTAAATGCAAATTTCAATAGCGAATATTTTAATTAATGGTGTTCACACAAAGAGATATCGTCATTATTAATTTATGTATGAACAATAAAGTTAAATTATTTAATTATATATTTCCAGAAATTAAGAACAAATTTATACCGGTTTATTGCAACAAAAACCAAATAAACATAAATATCAATACTTTTAATCGATTTCACAAGAGAAACCTTCATGAAATCCGACGTAGTCTTAAACAAAGAAACATTTTTACATTTGTTTTTGCTAATTTTAATTCTTCTAAATTTTCAATTACACTCGTTGAGCAATCTTCCAAATTTCTCTGCACGAGTTCAAGGTATTTTCAGCGCGGTCTTCATAATGCCAGAAATATATTCGTCGGGATTTAGGTTCACTAAGATTCCCGATTCTCTACCATAACAAAGTGTGTGGCTTCAGAATTTGTCCAGAGACCTGTTACTTCATAGATTTAAGTCAGTGATCAAACTACATTTTAAAAAAAGTATCAAATATTGAAGCCTGTGTACAGCTTGTGTTGTGTGCACAGTTCACGTCGAAAACGTAAAAAAATATCTTGCTTAGTATCGACTGAAATATCTTAAAATTTCCATATTCGTTCATCAAGATTTCTATTTTAAAATCGTTTTATATCAAGCGAATGTGAGCCGGCATGTCTATCTGATTGTATATATTTGCTAAATAGTTTTAATGTTTTGCTGTCTTATTTCGTATATGTATTACGTAATACATTTATCATTTTTTAAATTATTTTTGCTTATTCTCATTATTCCTTATAATGCATGAGTGATACATGTTTGTGCGATCATGTCTCTTTTCGATTCATGCCTGACTTGGCAGAATAATTTCTGCAGTAGCCTTCCGTTACTTTCTTTGGTAGACCGGTTGCCATACAAGGCTATAGGATACAGTCTGTCCTGCTAATTAACCTATAGCTGGGGGAGAATTGATGGATTCCTACTTTTTTTTTGTGCATAAGTGAATGTAATGAACTCGATTTGAATTCGAATTCAGCTCTCCAATTTCTCATTCTCAGCCGTTATCCATTACACCACCCGCTCATCAAAGTTTACAACACTGGTATTCTCCAGCGGTCACCCATCTTGGTACTGACCAGGCTTAACGTTGCTTAACTTAGATGATCGGACGAGAACTGGTGTTACAACCTGATATGGGCGTAAGCCTAGTTTTTCACTTTATAACCGACGTTAAAAGGGGATTTTCTCTATTCACAATAGATCGAGGTAGTAAGCAGTACAATTTTTTTAGATTTGTGTTAATAACCACCTGAGACAACTATTTACTTAAATGCAAAAATGCTGCTGTATATTCGTTATAGACATTTGGAATAAGCAAATGAATTAATATCATTTTTACTTGCCTAAAGTCTTTTTTCCTTTAAATAATGTTTGGTTATTTTTTTTTTTTTTTTTGTTACACGTGTGTGCGCATCCGTACGAATTTAGTAAAATTCGGTAAGTGAAGATTCGGTAACTATGAAATAAATTTGACTGAAAATTGATTTTTGAGCCGTTCTGGTGTGGGTGAGGATTTGGAGGCTAAGGCCCACTCCCTTATATTTTTAAATAACTGAAAATCGTGGGATCCAAATAAAACCCCACTACAACAATACCAAGGCCGTACTTTCTGAAGAGGTCTAAACTAATATGTTTAAATAAGTACTAATTACAAAATTAAGGGTTCCAGTCCAGATAAAACCCCATTGCAACAATACCAGCTTCCCCCTACTTTCTGGATGGGGTGTTTACAGAGTTAAGCAACCCCCACCTCCATTATTTTAAAATAAATATTTTTTAAATAAGTATTTATTTAATTAATATATTCTGAAGTTTTTAAGCAAATGTTATGATGTTAATTTGGGGTTAATAAAGACAAACGCCAAATAACATGTAACAAATAAATGGGGTTTATTCGGTTGGTAAGTTGGTACAGATATCGCCTGAGTAGTCTATAACTAACTCAGCTCAGAACTTCTTCTACACTGTCTTTCTACATGCCACTATTTTACGTCCTTGTTTGTAGACGAGTTCATCTTCAAGAGGGGTGGTAGGTTCCCACACAACAGCAAATAAAATAGATTTATCTAAGTTAAAGTTCTTGTATCTTTTCAAATTATTATTTTAATAAAAAGCAATAGATAAATAAAAGAAGTAAATATATTACTTTATTTCTTTTTAGAGTGGCAAAAACTACGTATCCTCATTTCTATTTCAAAAATATAGGGGGAGGAGGCTTAAAGTAAGTTTTGAAATGCCAAAACCGTTTAAAGGCTTTTTGGTAAATCAGTTAAAAAATAAATAAACCGTTTTGTCAATTACTAAAAAAGAAAACATCTGTTGAAATAAACATATGTCATATTTGCTAGGCTTTCTACTTCAATTATCTTCACATCACTATAACTATTTTCCCCGAAATAGGAACAATAAATGAATTAATGTCTTTGGACATTTCTGAATATGATTGCCCTATTCTACCAGTAACTCTCGTATTAATTCTTTTCTTTTGATTTCCAATGATTTTCTAGAAAATAATTACACAAAGTAATTAATGACTTAATATTAATGCTATTTTTACGTTCGATTACTAGCGTTTCTAATTATTTTTTTATAAATAAGGATGGCATTGTTCTATCGGTAATCGTTAAATCAATTTATGACCACGGACAATACCACTTGAGCAAGTTTAATCCTCACTAGTTTTCAATTTGAAAACTTATACTGGCTTAGCTAAGTTTACTAAAAAAAAAAGTCCACATGGTGCCCGGTCTTTCGCGAATGTGCGCCAGTTCGTCTGGTAAACTCATTTTTATGCACTCTTTCTGTTATTGCATGTCTCTCACGTTAGACTAAATTAAGGTTAATAAATGACTAAGGCATATATAACAGCAAGGGACGGTTTGACCCTCGAGTCAAGTAGTTTTAGCGGGTGAATATTATCCGTGACAGTAATTTAGACCGAGATAATATTAGGAAGCATAATAACACATTCTTTCAAATATATTTGGTTTGGTTTACGGCTTATCAACCTCAATTGGTTATTTAATGCCGACAAAATTTTTATTGCTGATATTTATTTTTCAATGCCAAAACTGACTGAAGGCTTTTTGGTTAATCAGTTAAAAAATAAACCGTAAATTATTATGGTTATATTTTTTTTTCCTTCAAAAACTCTGGTAATATTTTTCCTTATTAGCTGGTAATATTCTATTTTTTCAAAAATTACTGGTAATTTTTTTTTTTTTTTTTCAAAAATGTATTGCTTGTAATATTTTTTTTTAATGCATTGCTGGTAATATTATTTTTTTCAAAAATTTATTGTTGGTAATAATTTTTTACCAAATATTTCTGGTATTAAAACCTATTTTTACACTTTCATAGTGATTTGACTCCAGTTTGGAGGGTAACTATTTACCCATAGCTGGGACCCTAAAAGGTGCTACCACCCAAGGTAGGGTTGACCTGGGAATACCAGCAATTAAGAGGTGGTTCCACGCTCCTCAAAACCTCCTGATCAGAGGCCTTGCTGTTGACGTAGTTTATCGCCTTACTCAGGACGCGGATGTAACTTATCGCCATACCCAGGACGGCTTTCAGATATAAATAAATAATTTTATGAAGTTGTTGCCAAACTTGATTTGGCGATAAATTCTGATAAATTAATATCGTTTCCCTAAGTTTCCGAATTTTTCTTAAAGCTTAATAGAGAGCAAGCAAAAAAAGAGCCAAAGAATTAATAAAGACACTTCTCAGATTTCCCTAGAAAAGGTAGCTTCATCATTTTGTGTAATTGATACCATACCACATTTTCTCTCTTTGTATTACCGTTCCGTCCTGATTGCAATAGTCATCATTTTTTGTCAATTCTCGATTATAACAGACACACACATAGGAAAAGAATTACTATGTCCATACATCAGGCATAGGATTTAAATTATCATGAAAAGCTATGTAGGGTTTTTCTATTATGAAAGAAAACATGGATATGAAAATGTTTGCTTTAAGAAATTCACTATATTTTCAGATTTTAGGTAGTCTTGTGACATTTCTATCATTATTATATATTTTGATGAACAGTTATAAGATTGATGTTGTTCCAGAATTCAATCGTATATAAAAGTAATATGGCGCAGAGTTTCCGGCTGTGAAAGATCCGATTTGGAAGTCAATGTATTTGACATTTCTTTATTTCATTTATATTCGTTTTTCTTTTATTTTACTATTCACAATGATTGGCTTTTTGTGGTTCTTGTACGATTTTCTCTTTGTTTTGTTCCTCTTTTTCCTAACTTGGTTTCTTTTGATTTTACTTTGTTAATGTTTTTAATTTCCTTGATTTTTTTTCTTTCTTTTTCCCCATTAAAGCATTTTTCGTATCTTTTGTAGTTCTCTCTTGTACTTTATTGTTACAATCACTAAGAAGAAAGACTAGCGAGAAGAATTTTGGTAAGTAAAATAAACTAACAAGAATTGGAAGAGAAATGCTGGATTCCTGGTGTCTTAGAGACAGTCAGGAAGTGTACGTAAGATAAAACTCCACAATATGTTAACGAGCGCACGAAAAAATAAATTAAGCGTATATCCTTAAATATAATACGCCATATATATATATATATATATATATATATATATTGTGTGTGTGTGTAACAATTGAGAGAGTGTACATGAGACGCACAGAAGTCATGACGTCATTCACGTCCACACACAAAAAGCTACCGCACTGACAAACTAGAAAACAACCACCTTCTTTCCATCTCTCTGCGAACTACGATCAAAGCGAAAGAAGTGATGGAAAGTAGTCACGAAAAGAAACAGATGTACAATTGCAAAGAAAGAATGAAAGAACGAAAGAGAGAGTAGGGGAGAAATAGAAATGGATAGAGAGAGAGAGAGAGAGAGAGAGGAGATAAATATATGTTAGACAAAACTTGGCCGAGGTCTATATTTTATTTCAGCTTGAATTAAACTTCACATGAACTTAATTTTCTTCGAGGTATCTTGGATTGTGGGATCGACCATCACTAGCGATGATACTCTAATTTCTCAGCAAGAACATCCAAGGTGTATTACAAAAGCGTGCGTACAAATGCTATGCGTGCGCGCACGCATCTACTCACACATTTATTTCTAAAGATGTAATGGATCTTTTTATATCCGACATATTTTTATCACTTTAAACGTTATATTTAGTGGATGCCCATATTTGTGTAGATGCTTCGTTTTTTTTTTGTTTTTTTTTTCAAAAAAGAGGAGGAATCAGAAACCCGAGTTCGAATTCCAGTCGAATCCATTACATTCACTTATGTGCTAATACCCTTGGGAAAGGTATGAATCCTCTTCTTCTCTCCCCAGCTATGTGTAAATAGCAGAACAGACCGGGTCCTATAGCCTTGGTTGACAACTGGTCTACAGAAGAAAGAAACGGCAACCTACTGCGGGAAAAAATCTGCCTCGTCAGTCATCTATCGAAAGATACGTAATTGCCTACGCGTGTATCCCGCATGGCACATAACTGACTGACTGGCCTGAATATTAAAAAATGTTACCCTGAACTGAGTAAAGAAGTAAAGACTGCCAAGTGTTCTGAATAAAAATATCTTTATATACTTACCTAAAGCTAAACAATGATGTTCGAAATTCCGGCATATATCACTTGAAGAAGGTGATATACGTCGGAAATATGGCAATAAAGACATTAGTAAATAGTTACAATAGCTCGTCTCAGAAACACACACACACATATTTATAAAAAAAATTATAATAAGTTATAATTTTTTTTATAAATAATAATTATATCTCTACTTTGTATTGAGCACTATTTTAAGAATAGTAATTGTTGGTTATTGGAATTCATTCCGTATATACCAATTATATACATATATATATATATGCCACATATCTATATAAAAGTTTTTTGTGTGTGTGTGCAAAATTTTAACATGAGGCGCACTGACAAACTACAAGAAGACCGCACCAAACAATGGCGAAACAGTTGAGAAAGAAAGAGAAAATAATCCCCTATTACGGACTGTCAAGGATTACTCAGACCTTTCAAAATTATTATTTTGTGCACTTTTGCAGTAAAAAAAATTTGGTTGTAAATATGTAATATTTATAAGGATAAAATACGGATATCTTTTCTGAGATGTTTATAAATTGTACAC